AACAGGAGGGATAATGACTGGAACTGCCACTGTATCAGGGTCAGTGGAGTAATAAGTAGACCGAGCACAGCCTGGGGCCTAGAGCCTAGGAAGAGTGCTATAAAAAAATGGGGCCCTTTCACCCCTGATGTAGCAGGAAAAACAGAGAGATCGTGACACCGAGACTATTATAGGAAGTGGCACTTTATTACACTGGCTAGCACAGCTGGCTCAATTGAACTAATGCGTCCAAACCAAGCACCCCAGAACAGGTGACCTGGGGTCTTATACCCTTGTTTAGGTAAGGGAGGGGGTCGTGTTGAGTGATTACATATTTCCTTTGGAATCTTACAAGGTTGTACTCAGCAAAATCAGATTTTTCAAAGAACAATTTTGGATAAGTCTGTGAATTAGCCACTCTTTTTGCATATCCATTAAATGGCTAGTCTTTGGGCCATTTGGCCTTTCCCAAACAAAACCTGCCTGGGGTCTTTAAAGTTGCAACTTGCCTTTCAAAAGGAAATACCTTTAACTGCTATCAACTCCTTTCCTGCCCTGGGCTAGTGATTGCCATGAGGCCACCTGCTGATCCTGAACCAGCTACGTGTTTCTGTGTTTATTCGCTCAATCATACAAGAAATATATTTGACCATTTGCTGCATCCTGCCACACTGAAACCCCTCGTCCCATGTATCTTAGTGCTGTCTTGTCTATTAGAGTACAAGCATTAGTTAGAAATCTAAGTTTTTTTTCACAAAGAACAATTCGAAATATAGAGCTGCAAGCCACCCCACAGAGTTGATGATCAAAGTAATACCTGAATGATCTACTCAGAACTTGGCTCAGAACTTGGCCTCCGCCTTCCATGATGGCTGGCCTGGCATCCTCCACACCCTCCTTCTGTCTCTCTAGAGAATGGACAGTCTTTTCTTTCCCAAACATTGGAGATTTCTCTCCCTACTCACCCAAGGGGGGAACAAAAACTACGTTCAAAGTCTGCTGGATTTAAATTCCATACTCTGAGATCCTTCCAACTTTAAGTTTACCAATAAGTATCTATGACATTCAGCTTAAAACAAATCACATCCACTTATCTATCTCAGGGCCAGTCAGGGCTCTGAGAACGTCAAAATTCTACATCTTAAAAACTGAATGCTTGAATTTTGTGTCCACTGTTGTTTCCAGCAATCTTTAGAGCTAAATGATTAATTATACCCAAGACAGTCCAAAGCAATTACTTAATTAGCTGTATTATAGGCTGCCAATTGTTTGCTGTGAAGGAAAGGCCTTTACCCTGGTTTCTCAACATCTGGCCTTTGGATGGCTTAAAAGATAAAAGGAGATATGAGAACATTTTTATGACTAAACTACAATTTCTAGAAATTTTCCACTAAGTAGAAAAACTTTTTCAGTAATTCGCTTCTCATGATTAGAACGTGGTGATATGTTTTACTGTAAGGGTTCAGTGTACTTGGATCCAATGTAAAATAGAAAATGTTGCAATGTAAAATGAGATGCTGGTGCAACATTTTTAGGGCAGAAAAGTCGGTTTTCTAGCAAACCTATATTTCCCCTTCAATTGTATTTATTTCCACTTTTTCCTTGCCTATTTTTAAAAGTTTTCTTTCTTAATTTAGGCTTTTAAAAATCAACTTCGATAAACAAACAAACAAAAATTCCCCATTATCTATCCTAAAGTTAGAAATCTAAGTTTTATTTCACAAGCAACAACTAAAAGAAAGAGCCGCAGGCCACCCCACAGAGTTGATGACCAAAGTAATACCCGAATGATCTACTCATTGACACTAGTTTTGGGGGAAAGCAAACAGCTACATGTAATGACTTTCCATTTGTCTGGCCTTTGGAGGACTGAAAAGGTACATTTTCATGAATGGGTAACAATTTCTAGAAATTTGAGATTTGAAAATATCCAAAAATGTTTCAATGACTTCAAGCACGTTGGACTCTCCCATCTCTGAACACTTAAGTGTTAATGATCCTTGGTAGTGTACAACTTAGCACTCAAATGAACTATAATTGTCCCATGTGTCTTGGTGCTGTCTTGTCTGTTAGAGTACAGGCAGCCTGGCCATGATATATCTGTTTCTTCCATTGCCCGTAACACCTCATAAAATGGATCAGTGAAATAAACCAGTTGAATAATGACGAATTGATTATCATGTATTTGCTCACCGGCTGTATTCAGAATTGATACTTGAGTAACTAGAACCTCTTCCTTTTGAGTATTAAAATATTATCAATCTAGTAAAGTTTAAGAGTGGTTAAATATCAGTGAGCATAGGATGCGTGAATGAGACTGAACAAATAGTTGAGCAATAATGAATGACACAGGAACACATCACACAGTCCCTCCTTGGGAAACAAGCTTGGATTGTCTGAGAAAACCCAACGGAATATGTAACTTTATCAGCTATTCCTTAAAGGGTATACTCAGACCCTTGGGTTGCTGCAATATAAATTATGTATTCGAACTAACACTCTAAACCTGTAGTCCATGGACCTCATCCTCTGTTCCAAATAATAGTTTGAAACTTTTTGTGTACACTGGGGCTCAGAAACGGATACCTTGGAATATGGTGCTTTGACATGTTGAACTAAAGCTTTCTGTCTCTCCCAAAGCACAGGATGAAGTTATCCTCTGAGGTTCCCCTATCTGCCTAAAGTTTATACCCTTCAAAAAAGAAAACAATTACCTCTGGTCTCTCCCTTGAGTTTTCATTATCTAAAGTCAAATCGTGGGAAGAAAGACTGAAGTCTCTCAACACACCTGGCCAGACTTTTGTCATAAACCACTGTCTGCTCTGCCAGCCCAGTAGACTTTGTCCCAGGCCACTGTACATTCTCCAAGTCCATTGAATTCCCCTAAAAATTATGTACTACCCCTTAAATGTCATCCATACTTCTCCATCTCTCTTTCCCCTAGAGGGTATATAACTATCTATGCACCATTGGGTTATTGGGTAATCATTATCCTATGATTTTCCTGTGCTATGCGCGTTAAAATAACTTTGGATGCCTTTTCTCCTATTAATCTGCCTTTTTTCCGCTGATTTTCAATGAACTTTCAGAGGGTGAAGGGGGAGTTTTCCCTGATCCCTGCACGTGTTTGCATTATTCTTGAAAGATTCTAAAGAAGTTCACGTCTCAAAAAAGGTTATGGCCGCTGTGTTAGAAGTGCCCATTTACAGTTAGATAAATTTTGCACGAAAATTTTGTGTGTTTCTAAAATGGAGACATTGGCCGGGCTCGGTGGCTCAGCCTGTCATCCCAGCACTTTGGGTGGCCAAGGCAAGTGGATTGCCTGAGCCCACAGGTTCGAGACTCGCTTGGGCAACTTGGTGAGGCCTCATCTCTACGATAAATCAAAAATTAGCCGGGCGTGGTAGCTCACGCCTGTAGTTCCAGCTACTTGGAAGGCTGAGGCGGAAGGATTGCCGGAGCCCCCAGCAGGTTGAGGCTGCGGTGGCCGGGAGGGTGCCACTGCACTCCAGTCTGGGTGACAGAGTGAGACCCCAACTCAAAGAAAATAATGATAAAATAAAATGGAGACATTGTGATCTCCTTAAATAATGTAAGGGAACTCTTAGAGTTGCCAGTGTGCTGTTACCCAAATTGCCGTTCCTCCAAAGAAAACCTTTCGTTCAGCATCAGGAATCACCTTTTAAACATTTTACTACCCCATTTTGGCAAAGAGAGGAATGGAAACCAACCCACAGGCCATGGTTCCCATCACTTGAAGGAACCAGACACCTTTGGGCTAGTATTACTCGTTTCCAGGGAGCAGGACACAACCTCAGGTCCAAGCTCCAGAAGCTTAGAGATGTGTCACATTTCATTGGCTAACTGCCACCTTCTGACCATGCAAGTTCGAGTCTTTAGCAAATTTGTCCATTCGAGAAAATAATCGATACTTTTATTCCCACACCTAAAGGTTGACTCAAAGAGTTCATTCTTATTAATTGCCATTCCCAGAAGTGTATTTATGTTATTAATGCTATATTTCCTATTAGGGAGACCCAAACAACCAGTATTCCTATGGGCAGATGAGTTAACAAAATATTAGACTTTTCTGTAATTGTCCATCTTGGGAGTAGCTTATTAAGAGAAGCCTAATCCATGGATCTGCCCTTATTAATAAAAAAGAGAATTACTATCATTCAGGCACTGACTTCCAACCTCCAGTGGGCTTATAGTTTTACCTAGATGACATAGCAACCCTGAGAAGTAGGTACTACTAACCACACCTAACAGGTGAAGAAACCGAGGCTCAAAGAGATTAAGGAATCTAGCCAAGGTCACACAGCTAGTAAGTGGCCGTCTGAACCTCAAACCTTCAGCTGTGAGACTTGAGAGGCTACCTTCTTAGACTTGGGGCTGAACTCCTCCGATGCAATTTCTCAATTCTACAAAGAGCAGTCTACTGGACCCAGAGGCCAGACCTCCGCCTCCACAGAGCAGTTCTAACGCTTTGTGTATTTACATTGGTTCCCTTATTCATTCATTTCCCACAAACTAAATAAGCAAAATGTAAAAAATATAAATGTGAACTCATTCTTCTATCAATGTCCCATCAAATACTTGGGAAATATGGCTGATCAGGATAAATAATTAGATGTAGGAATTGTCCTTAAAATAAAAAAAATTCCCTTCTGAAACGTGTCTGCTAATTCAGATATATTTTCTAAGTAAACATCTTTTTCCTCATTTTTCTTCCCAGTCAAACACACACACACACACACACACACACACACACACACACACGGCAAAATGCAGTCCATTCTTTACCATAAAATATTTCAAACAAAAAAAAAAATCCTCAGACCTGCTTTTCAAAAGGAATCGATGAACATATGAGGCCCAGACATATCCTTATGATTAAAACCTGAGAATAAAAGCAAATTGGTATTTCTCCTTTCATTCTCTCTCATTAAGAGCTGTCTTAGCCAAAGACCAGAAGCCGGCCTTTTCAATTGTATGCTTTTTCTTATTTTTTTCAACAGGGGACTTATTATGTTTGGCAATGAAACATACATCTTAGAACCAATGGAAAATGCAACCGATAGATACAATCTCTTCCCAGGGAAGAATCCGAAGAGTATCTGGGGATCGTGTGGATCACATCATAACACGTCAGGCCTCGCCACAGATAACATGTTCCCGTCGTCCCCTCAAGCGTGGGCAAGAAGGGTAAGATGAATACCCGATCCCGTGTTCCTGGGGAAACTGGGGGCTCAAGCTGTGCATACCCCATACCAAGGCAGCTAGGGAAATTTTGCCATCTTGGTGCTTTGCCTGGGGGTTGGAAGTGCCCAGTGTATCTGGAGGCGGTTGACATCACGTAGTGGAATATTCCCATGTAGCCAAATCTCCATCATTGGATGGTAAAGGTCAGCCTCAGACTCATTAAAATATGCAGGATAAAGTCACATAGTTGGGGTTGGAGGATGACGGAATCACCATTCAAGGAATCTTCCGTGACCCTACTGTGGGCCTATACCCAGGGCTGGTCCTACCACACCGAGCAAGGCGAGAATGGAGTCTGCCCTATTCTCCAGCAACTCTTCTTCTACTGAAAAGAAAGGACACATAAAGGTTTTGATTATAATTTGCCCATACGCTTGTACATAGGTGAATTGAGTCTTTGTCCATGAAATATTGCTGAGGAGTCTTGCTTACCCTCAGAACAAGCTGTGATTACCTGTCCTGGTTCCCTCCTGGGACCGTGCAAGCAGTCTGTGCTTTTGGCCACCAGCCCCCAGATATGCTCATAAAAGTCTTCCTTTCTGCGGCAGCACTAGAAATAGTAGTTGCCCAAGGGAGTCTGAACCCAGATAGACTTTCTCCTTGACATATCTCATACAACACCATGAAATCTCCTCCCCAAACCGTGGCCGGTGCCTTTTCCCTCCGGTCGTATATGGGTGACACGGGCTGCAGTGGCGTTCTGTTAGCAAGGACAAAAGGTGATCCTTCTTCACGTTTGGCTAGGATCCTTTAACGTAAGTGAGTAAAACCAGATAGGAAATTATCAACCATGTCCCTCTTTTTCATCTCTGGATTTCCTTTTTCTCTTTTGACAAGAAATCAAGACAATTCACAGAGGTGATGTCATTTGTGCTTATATTTGACTGTCTGGGGACACACTCTTCAAAATTCCTGTTAACACATTTTGGTCTTTCCTAACTTTAATTTGAGTAGATTGCTGCTTAACACTCACTCAGCATTTGTGAATTTCAATGTTGGTTTACTCTAAATTATTTTTCTAAAGTTAAAAGAGAGGATTCTCTTAAATGACGCCTTCTCATTCTTAAAATTCTCCTCATACCTGTGGGTAGATGTCTGTTCCCTAAGCCCGCCCTTGACTGTATCAGTTCAGGACTTTTAACTCTAATTTTACATTCATTCTTTCAGTCCAGGTATTCTGCTTGTGTGACGCTCACTTCCTCTGTTTGCTAGTGTTCTTCTAAGATTTTTCTATGGCAGGTGTTTACAACCTCTTTTTTTTTTTCTGCCCCATCACAGGAGGGGTAAGAACTCTCTCATCAGGTATTGTGGCTCACCTTGACTTTGCTGCATTGCTGCTTGATGTGGAAGGCTGTGTCCTAATCCCAGGGAAGAGAGTTTGAAAATTATACCCCCCACCAACCTCTAGCACTACCAACTCAGGAGGGTTTTCATCCTGCACTTCCCCCCCACCCTTCTTAGAATGACAGATTTAAGAGTTGGAATCCCAATGGCCAGCCTCTGTGATCCCATGGCATGTTTATTTTTCTCTTCAAACACTTTTGCCTTTGATTCCAGACCTTGGCTAAGATGTTGTTAAGTTGTAGCTTACCAGTCATAGACAAGCAGAACATTTGCATTTTCTTTCCAGGCTCTTTTCTTTGAGTCCCTTGTTGAATGCATGGTATCCATGTGATGAGATTTATAACATGACACTCAGATATGTTTGCTGTTTCATTTCAAAGCACAGATTCAGTCTGTACTTACCAGCCATATTTTACTTCCTTTAACTTATGGCTCTCTAGAACTATGATTGCAATTTCCAGTCACTCTGACCTGTAGAGAAATGGAGAGAATGGGAATAGCGATGTTGTTTTGTTAATAATGCATTTTGAAGTTTAAATGAACCTTTAAATTGAAAAAGAAGCCATCAATGCCAGTCAACTCAGTTCTCCAAATTTCTCTCTAGAAATAGTTGTGATTGTTTTCATGGAAGAGAAAGCAACCTGGATTTAAAATGCATGAACATAATGAAAATGGGGCAAAAAATAATTTTCGAATAAGCGGAATGCTTGGAAATTGGAATTAAACAGAAGGCTGTCTTGGTTAGCACCTATGGTAAATATGAAAGGGACATTACCTGCCTTGCTTGTGCTGACTTTATTTTATGCTTTGAAAAGTCAATGCAACTGCAGCTAACTAATCTTGTTTATGCGGTGTTACAACTGCATGTGCTTTTTCCCAGCATTTTTCTGCCCCTGTTAAATGTTAACTATCACAAAGATTGGTTTGCACACTGTGATTTTTCTGCAGATGCTTGCATTTTTCTTCACCAAGCATCAGGAATAAATCTGTACTTAGGGTATAGACTGGCTATGATATAAACCCGAGCTATTGTTTGTCATTTTTACAAGGTTCTACATTAGGGTTTAGTGAGAGCTCAAGTTGCCCCTGTAAGGGCATCTAGGAGCAGATAACATAGTATTCAGCTCTGTCCTCTGATTTTGAACTCCAGCCTGAAGGTCTGTACCCCTCCGCTCACCCACAGCAGGCTCCTTCCCTCTCCATTGGCTAGTCATTCAAGAATGCAAACTAATTTTAACTTCAGCCTAAGCGAGCTATAAGGAAGGCAAAAGCAATAAATCTGCTGCTGGAGAAAATCACATAATACTTCCCAAAGGCAAATGTAAATTATTTTTGAATTGTCCTTTCTTTAGGGATTATCTGTGCCATTGTTCCTCTCTGTTAGTTTGGATAATTATGAGTCGAATATGCAAGTTGCTGCTTTCTCTGGAAAGAAACTTGTGCCCGGGCTACTGTGTACTTATAGGAGCAGGAGTCAGGGAGATACTTTGGTGTTTCCTCAAATGCAGCCATCCTGAAATGAACTGGTACTAACGCTTTTGTGTTTGCAGGCAGCCCATCATATTTGTGTAGCAGAAACCACAGCAGTGGTGGTAGTATAAATAATAACGGTGTTATATAGTATATGCAGAAACTAGCGATCGTTGACTGTCAGAAACTGGCCTGCACCATTTGAAAACTCATTCATTATGACAGGCGAGTTTCATTCCTCTCAGACGTAACCATCCTCACGTCCACACCTCACCACATCATGTTCTCTTACGGCCTTAGTTGTTCTTAAAGCTTGGGGGTAGAAAGAGAGGTAGCACATTTCCTTGGCCCTGGGCTTTGTATAATTATTCTTGTGAGCTGAGGCTAGGAATTTTCAGGTGTGGATTCCTAATGTTGATGAAAAATGCCAATGTCTATAAAATACTTAAGATGGTTTATTCTGAGCCAAATGTGAGTGACCTTAGGCTCATGACACCTGTCCCTAGGAAGTCCTGAGAGCGTGTACCCACCATGGCAGGCCATCTCCAAGCAAGGACTTGCAGGTTATAGGTGAACTCAAGATTGCCTGACTGAAAAGGAGTTAGCAGAAGTCAGGCCCTTATCTAAGGAACTTTAAATTCAGTAAAGGATATGTTCTATTGAGATAAGGGGACAGAAAAATCCCAAGTTTCTTAATATGTAGATGATGCCTCATAGGTGGCAAACTTCAGAGAGTATATAGGTAAGTATTCTGAAAGGTGTCCAGAGTCTGGGAGTCCCCAAGAGATAGCTTTACTAGGTCATAAAATACTTAGATTTTCCTTTTTTATTATGTGATGTCAAGCCAAAGTCAGTTAGGAAAGTAAACCACTGTATATAGGTGGAGTTACCAACAACAACAAAAAAACCCATCTCCTCCGGTCCCTTAGTTAGGAACTTGCAAGGTAGAGAAAAAAGGTGAGAGTTCAGTCCTCACTAGTGAGTCTTAAATTCATTAAAATTCTGGAAGAATAGCCGGGCTCAGCAGCTCAACCTGTGATCCCGCGCTTTGGGAGGCTGAGGTGAGTGGATTGCCTGAGCCCGCGGGTTCGAGACCCGCCTGGGCAGTGAGCCCTCATCTCTACAATAAATCAAAAAATCAGCCAGGCGTGGTAGCACGCGCCTGTGGTTCCAGCTACTCGGAAGGCTGAGGCGGAAGGATCGCCAGAGCCCAGCAGGTCGAGGCTGCGGTGGCTGGGAGCGTGCCACTGCCCTCCAGCCTGGGTGACAGAGTGAGACTCCAACTCAAAAAAAAAAAAAAAAAAAAAATTCTGGAAGAATAAATAACCGATCTCACTTGTGCCACTGTGGTGTTTTGGACTCCTTGTCAGCATTTCACATTTGTGCCCGTTCACGTTCAGGTTATCAGATTCAGCCCATTCTCCAGCATATTGTCTCTTTTTTAAAAAAAATTCTGCCAGCCTACATGTTAGCCAGGCCTCAGAGGCTGTATCCCAAGTGGATATGATCAGTGGGCATTGTCCCTACGCAAGTCATTGACAAAGATGGTAGAGACAATCTTCCACAGCTGAGATCAGGGCTCAACTTAAAAGTAATCTTCAAGTCCAACCTGGGCAACTTGGTGAGACTTTGTCTCTACAATTTAAAAAAAAAAAGGCCAGGCTCAGTGGCCTGTAATCCCAGCACTTTGGGAAACTGAGGCAAGTGGATTGCCTGAGCCTGCGAGTTCCAGACCCACCTGGGCAATTTGCCGAGACCTTGTCTCTACAATAAATCAAAAATTAGCCAGGCCTGGTAGCGCATGTCTATAGTTTCGGCTACTCGGGAGGCTGAGGTGGAAGGATCGCTGGAGCCCAGCAGGTCGAGGCTGTGGTGGCCGGGAGCACCCAGCCTGGGCGACAGAGTGAGACTCCAACTCAAAAAATAAAAAAATAAATAACCGGGCATAGTGTCACATGCCTGTAGTTCCAACTACTTGGAAGGCTAAGGCAGAAGGATCACTTGAGCCCAGCAGGTCAAGGTTGCGGTGGCCATGAGCATGCCACTGCACTCCAGCCTGAGACATAGCGTGAGACACTGATTCAAGAAAAGAAAAAAAGAAAAAACCTCAAAAAACAACCTTAGAGTCAAAGCCTAGAGCCTCGCTTGAGTAGATGAGTTTTCCTTGCTCAGAGGTAGATAAACCAAAATTTTGATTTGTTTAATTTGCTGATCTTGCCAACTACGGAAAACACCAGCCCCAGTTTCATGCTGTTTTGTTGCTATCTGCTTATTCGCCAGTTCAAATTTCCAGGTGTGGATTCCTAGTGTTGACGGAAGATGCCAGACTCTGTAAATATTTAAGACGGATGCAGGTCCCTGGTTGGAGATGGCCGCCAGGGTGGGCACACATTCTCAGGACATACTGGGGATGGGTGTCACAGGCCTTAGGTTGCTTACATCTGGCGCTGGCACAAGTCTGCCCAATGCCCATCATGACTGTCACAAACCATCACCAGCTCTCCCCTGGACAGCTGCACACCCTCTGGCTACACTCTCAGCTTCCAATATTGTCCCTTCAGAATCCGTTCTCCTTCCATCAACCAGAGTAATATTTTACAAATTTCCCATTCTAGGGCTCCCAAGCTCTTAGGTTACTACTAGAACACCGTTCAACCCCCTTGCTATGGCCGCTGCACCTTGCTCCTGTCTTCAGCCTTCTCTCATCTACTTCCCATCACTGGCTAGACGCCAGCCATCCTGCCTGCTGCTATAACACCCTAAGCTCTCGCCAGCCTCAGGACTTTTGTTGCTATTCCATCTACCTGAAACGCTGTTCCTGCAACTGCTTCTCATCCTTTAGATCTCAACTAACTCAGCCCCTCCAGCCGCCCAGCTTTATCCTGATTGCAGAACCCTGCTTGTTTCCTTTGTTGCACTTTTCACAGTCTGCGTTTTATTTTTGTTAATTCTATATTGTGTCCTCTTATCCTAACCCCTCACTAGAATGTGAACTTCAGGAGGGCAGGAATATTGGGTCTCTTGTCCATCCTGTACCCCCAGCACCAAAACATAGTGCGTAGCACTTAGAGAGCTCTCAGTAGATACCTTGGGATGAATTAATGCTATACAGATGCTCTGAACCACGAGAAGAAGGGATTGCACTGAGGATTTATTGTAGCCCGAATCTCAATTTGCTTTTCTAGCTTGTGTTCCCAGTGCCAGAGCTCTCACTGCAGGCTGTTTGAGGGATATCTCTCTCTGGGAACTTGGCTGCGATGACTTTGAGAGGCCAGGAATGGGCTCCCTCTTGAGCAAGACTTAAAAAAAAGCCTGTCTCCACCTTAGAACAGAGATTGTTGGGCCAATCTCAGAGGCTTATGTTCCTGTTTGGGAAAGGGCTTTTGTTTATAACCCAGAAAATGAAAAGTCAATCCAGCAACCAGTTTCAAAAGTTGCTCTCTAGATCACAAAATGAAAATACGATTCCTTTTTCTTTATTTTAAACTGGACAGCCCAAATAGGAGGTGATTTAAGCCTCTCTCTGTAGATGCAGCTAGTGGGAGAGGAACCTCTGTCTGTAGCTGTGAGCTGGCCACTCCACCCCCAACCCCCACCCCGTCGTCTTTTATTATTATGAGCTTAAACTTGTCTCTGAGCTTGTGATTCTCTGAATCCATGAGAAAATGTGGACTTCTCCGAAAACTTCAGAGACAGGAAAATTGTGTTCATGTGTTTGTTTTCATTAACTGGAATTGTGTATTTTCTCAATGATAACCCAAAGCCAGTTGGACACGTCCCCTGGACGTGTATCTCACCCCTCTGCAGACTGAAAAGTGTCAATGTCTAAACAAGAAGAGTTCGTCTGATGAGTTTTTCAACGGGAGATTAATTTTTTTTTTAATTTCTAGAGCTATTTTTTCCTGCATAATTAACTGAATTTATTAAGAGTTAATCAGGGAATTGTGGGCAAAAGAGCGATTTCTGCTTCTTTCACACCTCAGTAAGGAAAGGCGGTATGATCTTGACACTTTGAGAAGGTGTCTCATTTTGTGCACACCAGTGGGAAGCAGGGGGGCTAATTTTCTTTTATTTTATAAGTGGTACAGAGTTATCCCCATAAAGCATGCCTACAACTTATAGTTACAAGGCATGACAGTTTTCTCTTTTAACATTGTAAAAATATGAGAAATTATACCTATCATGCTGCTTTATTTTTTCTTCCTCCATGAGGTTTCCAGATTTCTTTAGGGACACCTAAATTCATGATTCAGCACAGCTGGGCAGCAAGGAGGAACACTGCTATAATACAAACATTTTTCTTGTAAAAATCTGTTTGGAAGATCCCGGACTGATGGGGATTTGTTTTATAAAAGATGTTTCCCTCAGGATTATGTGACTGGAAACCTGATTCAAAGCATACTTCAGTCTTTTTTCTTTTTTGCTTTTTTGCTTTCGTCTGAAAGAGTGGTTATAACGTGCAAGTTTTAAACTTCAAGCAGTATCTGTAGTTAACTCATAAACCAGCACTATCAGTCATCAGGACCAAAGACTAATTCAACCCCATTTCCTCTAACTGCATTTTATTGCAGAAACACAAGGCTTTGTTTTGTGTTTTTAATGTTTGCTTTTGGAGACCACCCTCCATGAATTGCTTTATTTCTCCTAAAAATGCCTTTGGGATTCTCCCAGTAATTCGCAGAAGAGTGTGAATGCCTTTTGTGAAAGTTTGATTGAAATGTAACCCACTGCAGAGGCTGTGTTTTCTGGAATGGGGTTCCTATTCCTGCTGCCTGAATCTTCTCTGTTCCTCCACCTTGGTATCTGATTTCCACGTTTTTCTCTACTATTTTGTTCTCACCCAATCCATTCTCTCCCATGACACTTCTCAGTCTTTTTTTTTTCTTTCTTAACACTGTTTCTTTATGTTCCTTTGTGTTTTTCCTCCTCATTCCACTTTCTCATCTCTCTGTTCCTCATCCTAGCTTTTTCTCCTTTTTCTCCAGACCACCCATCTTATGTTGCTTCTTACTAGATTCTTAAATAATCATTTTTAAATGATTATGCAGTCTGTTTAAAATATATTCTCAAGTCACAAAACAGGCATATTCAGACTATAAAGACAAAGGGAGCACCCATGATACGCTGAATTAATTTCTTCATCTTCCTTAATGACCTTTCAGTGGCTACCCGTGGCCTGAAATGAACAGCCTCTGACCAGCTCCTGCTCTAGAGAGTGTTTGTTTATGTGCTCGTTTCGTTTAATAATAATTTTGACTCCTGATCCAGCAATCCGTGATTCAGCAGGAAGGTCAAACTCCTTTCTGAGGATTTCCCTAGTGGAAATGGAAGCTGGTCACTCGTGAGAAGGTTTCACAAAAAGATTGATGGGGTCAGGGGTAAACCAACCTAGATGGGATAGAGGTGCGGGGGTCTGGTAGGGATGGTGAGATGGATTCTCAGAGTGGTTGGATTGAGAGACATCAAGAGTGTTCTGGAAGTCCCAGAGAGGCTTTAAGGGACATTAAATTATGTTTACTGTTGGCAGCATAAAAGGGAGACTCTCAAGATGACCAAGTATGTAGAGCTGGTTATCGTAGCAGACAACCGAGAGGTAAGAACTTTTTTAAATTTCTCAGATGGTTGGTTAAAAAAAAAAAGAAAAGAAAAGAAACGCTTAGCAAGTTATTACTTGGCTTAATTAACCTCATTTTCTGTGCACTCTTAAAAACATTGGAAACGATCCATTGAAAAAGTTGTCTTCTCTTAAAAGCACATAATATTTAAAAAGTAGCTGATATTATAAAACAATAGCAAAGCCCTGCAAGAAAAAAAAAAAAAACAGAGTTACTCTGTGGCTAAGCTCTCCAAACAAGGAGAATTATTGGGGTGGAGGGGGGGTATTGTGAATGGCTTTAGAGTGTATTCTAAAACATATTTGGGAAAAGTTTAGTTATGATCCAATGTGTCCTAATCAAAATGGGGGAATAAAGGAATGAATAAATGAATGCTACAGAGAAAACAGTCAAAAAAATCTTCTCTGAGGTATGGCTTGATATTACATTAGTTTTTTCTTTTAATTAACTTTGAATTCATTATTTTTTGATGATCATCTCTGTATTTATTGTTTCGTTGACGTATATGAATTAGGTGACATCGTCTCATAGGCTCATTCAACACACATGAAGGAAACAGGCTTGACAAGTTTTCAGAAAACTGTTTCCATTGTGGAAGGTTAGATTAGAGGGGAGAATGGGGAATTTGTTAACTTTTTATCCAATCTCCTATGTATTGTTTGACATGTTGCCATGAGCTGCTATTACTTTTACTTTTTAATTTGTATAAAACAAATATACAGAAAATTTCTCCGGAAGTTAAAATCAAGTTGATGATATGAAAAATGGCTTTGGACTGCCTTCTGGTTGTCTGTTTCTTCTTTGCCAAAACATGTCACTGCTTCCATCATTTATGAGGCTGGAAAAAATCACAGAAGTTGCTGTCTTGTGAATACTTGGCTTGGAGGAATTTCAGGGAGTTTCAGGGAGTCCCCAGACGGGAAAATTATTCGGCAGGATGCAAGCTCATCTCACCATAAACTGTGGCGGGTCCCTGATGGTTTGTAAAAGCCCAAGGCTTTGCATTTTCAGGAGCCGGGCTGATGAGATTTGACTGATATTCTTGCTGTTATTCATGCTGACATTAATATTGTTAAGTTTCAGAGGCAAGGAAAAGATCTGGAAAAAGTTAAGCAGCGATTAATAGAGATTGCTAATCACGTTGACAAGGTAAGTTCTTTTCTGAGTAATTAAACCACTCAAATCATGTAAATGTTTGGGAATGAGCTTGGAGGAATTAGGCACCTCATCTCTCTTAGTGAAGACCAAGTTCTGCCTCTGAGCCCTGGGCTGGAACTCAGAGTCTTCTGGCCTCTGTGCATGTGATTCCGGGATCCTGGGACAGCTTCAGGAGATGCCAAACCACAGCTGTCTGGACCATGGTAGCCTTTGGGACACATCCTCCTTCGGGCTCTCTTCTGGCCAGGTGGAGTCCCTTTGTGAAGGGATCTTGGACTCACTGCCAGTTAGATCAAGGACCCCTAGAGGGTACATCTGATACTTTTGAGAACTCCTGAGCTGGGCCTCACCCAGGACCCTATACCCCCGCGGTGGATCCCACAGGCTCCTTCAACCCATCTCCAATGTGTCCCTGGGGGGGGGGGGGACTTTCATTTACAAGGGATCATAGGCTCCACTGTCCTTTCAGAAAATGTCTTTCAGCTCCATCAGCTCTTGTAAAGTCCCCTACCGGCCTGGCTTGGTGGCTCAGCCTGTAATCCCAGCACTCCGGGAGGCCGAGGGGAGAGGATTGCCTAAGCCCGCAGGTTCGAGACCCACCCGGGCAACTCGACGAGACCTCGTCTCTACAGTAAGAATCAAAAATCAGCCGGGCTTGGTAGCGTGCGCCTATCGTTCCGGCTACTTGGACGGTTGAGGCAGAAGGATCACTGGAGCCCAGCAGGTAGAGGCTGCGGTGGCCAGGAGTGTGCCACTGCTCTCCAGCCTGGGTGACAGAGTGAGACTCCAACTCAAAAAATAAAATAAAATAAAAATCATTAATTAATTTTTTTTTAAAGAAAAGTCCCTTACACCAAGAGCAAGTAGGTTAGAAACTTACTTTTCACCTCTGTGGAAAGCAGTGTGGCAATTCCTAAAAGTTCTAAATATCAACCTCCCATATGACCCCGCAATCCCCCTACTGGGAATATACCCTGAAGAAATCAAGTCACTCTATAAAAAAGATACCTGCACACGTATGTTTATCGCAGCGTTGTTCACAATAGCAAGAACCTGGAAACAACCATGCTGCCCATCAAAAGAGGACTGGATTTAAAAAATGTGGTACATATACATGATGGCATACTACGCAGCCATAAAAAAGAACAAAATCATGAATTTCGCAGCAACCTGGAGGGAACTAGAGTCTATAATACTGAGTGACCTCTCACAGAAACAAAGATCCAAGTATCACATGTTCTCACTCATATAATGGACCTTGAACATTCAATGTAATACTATAAGAAAATGACTGACGGTACTGGGAAACTATGGGGGGGAGGGAGATGGGATTAACAGTCGCAAATATCTGTCTAGGGA